TGTCCCCCGGACCTCCCGTTCCCCTGGCACCCATGCTCTTAACACTCGCTTTTGCTTTTGTAACGTTGCCTGCTTTGCACATCTGGCTTCCACCAAGGAAGACTCTGCAAAGAAAGGCACTCGCAGTCGCAAACAACCTCTGCTTCTCACTTGCCTTGACAGTTCCTTGCTGGCGTTGCCATAAGTCAGTTGCAACTTGAGTGTCCTTGTGTAATAGCCCCCCTACTTAGATTCTTCGTTGACTCAGCTGAGTGACCCTTCTGTGCCCAGAGGGCTAAGTTCTTTGGTGGAATTGGTGTTTGTATCATCAGAAAGATTATAACATGTTTAAAACTCAGTAGTGTTTGCAGCTGAACCAGGACAGCGGGGTGTGGTGGTGCCAGTTTGGTGCCCCTAAGGGCCGGCGCGCTCTAGGCGAGCGCCTAGTTCACCTAGTGAGTGAGCCGGCCCTCTGCACGGGGTGGAGAGACTGGACCAAGAAAGATATTTCTCCCTCTTCCCTAAATTCTAGAACTCAAGGGCATCGAGTGAAGCTGATGTGCAGTAGGTTAAGGATGGACAAAAGGAAATACTACTTTACACAGAGAGGGATTCAGATGTGGAATTTGCTGCCAGAGGATGTTGTGATGGCCACGGGGATAAACAGCTTTAAAGAGGGATCAGAGAGATTCATGGGGATTATGTCAATCAGTGGCTACTAGCCATAGTGGCTGAGGGGAACCTCCACATTCAAAGGCGCTAATCCTCTGAATCCAAGAGCCAGGAGGCAACATCGGGGGAAGGCCTCGGCCTCGATGCCCTGTTGTTGGCCCTCCAGAGGAACTGGTTGGCCAGAGTGTATGTCAGGGTGCTGGATTAGATGGACTATTGGTCTGATCCAGCATGGCTCTTCTTATGTTCTTTAACCTCCACATTCAGAATCACTAATCCCAATGCCGGGAGGAGGCAACACCAGGGGAAGGCCTCAGACTCCGTGCCCTATTGTTGGCCCTCCAGAGGAACTGGTTGGCCACTGTGTGAGACAGGAGGCAGGACTAGACAGAGCACTGGTCTGATCCAGCAGGCTGTTTTTATGTTCGTATAAAGGCCTAGGCCTCTATGCCCCGTTGCTGGCCCTCCAGAGGAACCAGTTGGCCACTGTTTGAGACAGGATGCTGGACTAGATGGACCCTCACTGGCCGGATCCAGCACGGCTCTTCTTATGTTTGTATGAAGGCCTCAGCCTCTGAGCCGTGTTGCTGGCCCTCCAGAGGAACTTGTTGGCCACTGTGTGAGACAGGATGCTGGACTAGACGGGCCACTGGTCTGTTCCATCAGGGCTCTTCTGAGGTTCTTATGAAGGCCTCAGCCTCTCTGCCCTGTTGCTGGCCCTCCAGAGGAACTGGTTGGACACTGTGTGAGGCAGGATGCTGGACTAGATGGACCATTGGTCTGATGATGATCCAGCAGGGCTCTTCTGATGTTCTTCTGAAGGCCTCCGCCTCTATGCCCTGTTGCTGGCCTGATCCAGCAGGGCTGTACTTATGAAGGCCTAGGCCTCTATGCCCTGTTGTTGACCCTCCAGAGGACCTGGTTGGCCACTGTGGGAGACAGGATGCTGGACTAGATGGATCACTGGTCTGATCCAGCAGGGCTCTTCTGATGTTCTTATGAAGGCCTCAGCCTCTAGGCCCTGTTGTTGGCCCTCCAGAGGAACTGGCTGGCCACTGTATGAGACAGGATGCTGGACTAGATGGATCACTGGTCTGATCCAGCAGGGCTCTTCTGATGTTCTTATGAAGGCCTCAGCCTCTAGGCCCTGTTGTTGGCCCTCCAGAGGAACTGGCTGGCCACTGTATGAGACAGGATGCTGGACTAGATGGATCACTGGTCTGATCCAGCAGGGCTCTTCTGATGTTCTTCTGAAGGCCTCCGCCTCTATGCCCTGTTGTTGGCCCTCCAGAGGAACTGGTTGGCCACTGTGTGAGACAGGATGCTGGACTAGAGGGACCACTGGTATGATCCAGTAGGGCTCTTTTTATGTTCTTATGTTCCTATGGCAGCAGTTCCATTTGGGGAAGAGAGGCCACAGCTTCCCACCGCTCTCTCCCCTTTTGCCCCGTCTGCTGACCCCTAGGAATGAAATTTCAGGTGGTGTGTGTGTGCAGCTGGAGGAGAAAAAGGGTAATCCGTTTCCATAAAGTCTGCCTATGGTTGTATCTGTGCCATTGTGGCCACACAGACTGATGCTGCCGTTTCCACAGAGCCCCCGACGCCAAGAGTGACGCTCAGGTCCGACCCCGATGGCCGGGAGACCCTCTTCTGTCAGGCCTACGGCTTCTACCCCAAGGAGATTGACATCAGCTGGAAGAGAGGTGGGGAATCCTGGCACCAGGATGTGTTCACCAGGGGGGTTGCCCCCAACGCGGACGGGACCTACCACACCACGCTCAGCGTCGGTATCGACCCCAAGGAGAGGGGCCGCTTCCGGTGCCACGTGGAACACGACGGTCTGCCGGAGCCTCTGAACTTGGCCTGGGAGGAGCCAGGTGAGACAGTGGGGGGTGGCCCACCCTCAGGGAGGTATAGGGGGCTGACAGAGTCTGGGTGGTGCACGGATGCCTGCAGAAGAAGGAGTCTCTCTGGGAAAAGAGAGACTGCATCCCTTAGCAGTATCACAATTCACAACTGCACAACACAGTAGGAACCTGCTCTGGGTACTAAACACGTGGTTGCACCCCCGTGTTGGAAACCAGAGCGGGGGGGGGGGAGGACGGACAATGTGACCACTAGCAAGCTGCCTTGAGCCATGAGGAGAGATGGGATATAAATATCTCAGTAAAGTAGAAGAGTTGGTTTCCATAACCCCACTTTTCTCGAGTCTTAAAGCAGCTTACAATCACCAATTTGGTGTAGTGGTTAAGTGCACGGACTCTAATCTGGGAGAACCGGGTTTGATTCCCCAATCCTCCACTTGCACCTGGCTGGATAATATAAGAACATAAGAGATGCCAATGTTGGATCAGGCCAAAGGCCCATCCAGTCCAACACTCTGTGTCACACAGTGGCCAGAAATACCAGGTGCCCTCAGGAGGTCCACCAGGGGGGCCAGGACAGTAGAAGCCCTCCCACTGTTGACCCCCCCCCCAAGCACCAAGAAGACAGAGCATCCCTTGCCCCAGAGCCCCTATCTATACCTTGGGGCTAATAGCCACTGATGGACCTCTGCTCCATAGGCTTATCTAATTCCCTTTTGAAGCCGTCCATGCTTGTAGCCGCCACCACTTCCTGTGGCAGTGAATTCCAGGAGTTAATCACTCTTTGGGTGAAGAAGTACTTTCTTTTATCCGTTCTAACCCGACCGCTCTGCAGTTTCATGGAGTGGCCACGAGTTCTTGTATTGTGAGAAAGGGAGAAAAGTACCTCTTTCTCTGCCTGCTCTATCCCATGCATAATCTTATAAACCTCAATCATGTCTCCTTGGGCAAGCCATAGTTCTACAAGTTCTTGAAAAGGGGCAGTTTCTGTCAGAGCTCTCTCAGCCCCACCTACCTCACAGGGTGTCTGTGGTGGGGAGGGGAAGGGAAAGGAGTTTGTAAGCCGCTCTGAGACTCCTTTGGGTAGTGAAGGGCGGGGTATAAATCCAGTGTCCTCTTCTTCTTCTTCTTCTACCTCACAGGGTGTCTGTTGTGGGGAGGGGAAGGGAAAGGAGTCTGTAAGCCACTCTGAGACACCTTTGGGTAGTGAAGGGCGGGGTATAAATCCAATCTCCTCCTCCCCCTCCTCCTCTTCTTCTCCTCCTTCTTCTCCTCCTTCTCCTCCTCCTTCTCCTCCTCTTCTTCTCCTCCTCCTCCTCCTTCTTCTCCTTCTCCTCCTCCTCCCCACAACAGGCCCCTTGTGAGGTAGGTAGGTGGTGCTGACAGAGTTCTGGGAGAACGTTGACTGGCCCGAGGTCACCCAGCTGGCTTCATGTGGAGAAGAAGTGGGGGAATCAAACCCAGCTCTCCAGATTACAGTCTGCTGCTCTGTGTATGCATAGGTCTAGGGCCAAGCAAGATATTATGGTGCCGACAGGTCCAACCTGTGGACCCCGACGCCATTTTGGAGATGACGTTGGCCTTTTGCAGGGCACTGGAACCAGGCTATCTTGGTTCCCCCACCCCCTGGGCACCTTTTCAAATAGTGAGGCAGCCATTTTACATTCGGCTTTCAAAGGGCGTCACTGTCCATGGCTGCGGTCACACCCACTCAGTAATCCACTTTCAGTGCACTTTTCAACTGGATTTTGCCAGTTCACACAGTAAGAATCCAGTTGGGAAGGGCACTGGAAGTGGATTGAAAGTGGAATATTGAGTGGGTGTATGACCGCAACCCATGAGTCTGACTGGTGGAGGCCTGTTAAGTCCGCACTTAACAAAATAGCCAGAGAGTGATTTCAGCAAAACTCAGGTTTATTCAGCTCGATGATCAACTTCTCTGACATGGTACAACTCCTCATAGCCCGAACAGCCTTTCCATTGCAGCTGCTCGGTATTTAAACATTCCGGGCTAATGTAGCCACACCTACTATACATAATTCAACCTATCAGGTTGATCGCATAACAGACCAATCATAAGCGTTCCCACTTACAGATAGTTCAAATGTGATTGGCCACAATGTCTTCGGCGCGAATCCTTGCCGAAGCCTGAAGCTTTGCATAGCTTCTCTATGGGATGATTCCACGTTCATCCTAATGCATTCAGGGCAGCATCTGAATACATTACAAGGCAATTAACATCTAGGTTGGCCTTTAGTGAGGTCAGTAAAGGCTGAAGCCTCCGGGTGGAGGTGGGGGTGGGGGTCTCCATGAAGATGGACTTCTGTAGCCTTGGGAGAAAAGAGATCTCTCAGTGGAGGAACTCTGTCTTGCCTGCAGAAATATCCACTCTTCCATTTCCAGCCAAAGGGTCTCAGGTGACGGGGGAAGGTTCTTCCAGAGGGTTGTATAAGGATACCATTTTCCTCTTGCAGCCTCAGTTTCCAACGTGGGACTAATTCTGGGGATCCTTGTCGGGTTCCTGGCGGCTGTTTTCCTGGGAGCTGGGGTCCTCTTCTACATCAGTAAGTCGACAGGGTCTGCCTTGGCTGGGAAGACTGTGGGGTGCTTGTGTGATTTTTGCACTAGATCCCCACTGAGGACTGGGGGGTTGGCACAGGGCCTCCAGCAGTGGCAGATGGTATCCCCACATCGGGTGGGCACCCACAACCCCTCCCCACAGAATGACATTTTGAACATGGACTAGAAGGCATCTGAAGATCACCTTCTCTGTGTCAGCTAGGCCTCCGTCTAGTCCTGGCTGCCATGGGCGTTGGGTGACTACTCCGGAATGTTAAGTTTCCTTTCTGCTGTGTCTTTGCTGCTTCTGTTATCTCTGCTTGGCCTTCAGTGTCTGGTGTAGTATTTCTCCTGGGAACAGAGGTCCGTTCCTTTGGCAGGCTTCTACCTGGCCCCTCATTGGCCCTGGGCCATCAGGGGGTCTCTTTGTGGAATGCATAACTGCTTGCTTCGCGTGCTTTTATTCAGTTCTAACACAAGATGTCCCAGATATCTGCATACTATCAAATGTCTCAATAAACTTTACTTCAATGAATGAAAGCTGTTGGGAACCGATCGCTGCAAGAGTCTGACACTCTGCTCCCATGTTAAAGACACAGAGTTTCCTGCGCATGAGAATTATAGAATCCTCTGATAATGAACTTTAAATATCCAAATGTCAGGGTGCTAGAAGGTGAGGTCATCTAGCCCATCTTGTCTCCTGGCTGGATTTTCACCCAGACCACAAACACCCTTGGAAATAATCCCCACTTAAAAAGGTAAAGGTTCCCTTGCTCGAAAGCCAGTCGAATCCGACTCTAGGGTTGCGGTGCTCATCTCCATTTCCAAGCCGAAGACGAAGAGCCAATGCTGCCCGAAGACGTTTCCGTGGTCATTTGGCCGGCATTACTAAACACCAAGGCGCACGGAACGCTGTTACCTTCCCACCAAAGTGATCCCTATTTATCTACTTGCAATTTCTTGCTTTCGAACAGCTAGGTTGGCAGGAGCTGGAACTAGAGACGGGAGCTCACTCCGTCTTGCGGCACACTCGGGTCTTGAACTGCTGAACTACCGACCTTCCACAGCCTGCAGTTCAGCGTCTTAACCACTTGAGCCACCGCAGTACCTAATCCCCACTTACTCCTATGGAATTTGCATATTGCATAAGTATATTTCTAATGTTCATGCATAAAAAATTTTGTCAAAGGATGTCTGGTCCCTTGAGTCAGATCACAGAATCATAGAGTTGGAAGGGACCTCCAGGGTCATCTAGTCCAACCCCGTGCACAACGCAGGAAATTCACAAATACCTCCCCCTCACACACCCCCAATGACTGCTGTTCCACGCTCAGAAGATGACAAAGAAATCCTCCAGGATCTCCAGCCAAACTGGCCTGGAGAAAAATTGCTTCCTGACCCCAAAGCGGTGATCAGCATTTCCCTGGCGTGTAAGAAAGGGCCACAAGAACTAAGCACTGAGGCAACCCTTCCTGCACTCCCTTCTCTCGTGATCTGCCTGAGTTCACAGAATCAGCACTGCTGTCAGGTGGCCATCGAGCCTCTGTTTGAAAACCTCCCAAGAAGGAGAGCCCACCACCTCCCGAGGAAGCCTGTCCCACTGAGGAACCGCTCTGTCAGGAAGTTCTTCCTAATGTTTAGCTAAAAACTCTTCTGATTCAACCTGTTGGTTCTGGTCCGACCTTCTGGGGCAACAGAAAACAACTCCGCACTGTCCTCTATATGACAGCCCTTCGAGTCCCTTGAAGATGGTGATCGTATCGCCTCTCAGTCGTCTCCTCTCCAGGCTAGATATACCCAGCTCCTTCAACCTTTCCTGCGTAGGATTTGGTCTCCAGATCCTTCACCATCTTTGTTGCCCTCCTGTGGACACGTTCCAGCTTGTCTGTGTCCTTAAATTGTGGTGCTCAAAACTGGACACAATAGGTGAGGTCTAACCAGAGCAGAGTAAAGCAATACCATCAGTTTGCTTGATCTGGACACTATACTTCTGTTGGACTGATGATGTTGTGAGTCCAAGAACCTGGCCTAGGTTTATCTGCCCCCCTCCTTTCCCTTCTGGCAGCCCACAAGGGCTCCAAACAGGGTCAACCCTCCTGCCCCGGGGCGGAGGGTTCGAGTCCCTTCCAATGTTCCCTCTAAGCTATGGAGCCCTGTGAGCAAAAATTCTACTTGGTGAGCTACTGGTATTAAAGTTGTGAGCGAGCGATTTGGCTACTGCATAAATTAGTCTGCTCTGGAACCATCTTTCCTGAGCGAAGACAAATATGTGTGAGCTGGAGGCTAAAAAACTGTGAGCTAGCTCACACTGACTCAGCTTAGAGAGAACACTGGCTCCCTGCTCTCTCTCTGCTCTGACGCTTGTAATAGAATTTCTCTGCCTCCATTTTCTCTAACCAAGAGTTGCCTGGGGGAGTTTTTGGAAGCTGGTTAACAGGGGATGGAAGGAGCTGCGGTGGCTCAAGTGGTTAAGATGCTGAACTGCAAGCTGTGGAAGGTCAGTAGTTCAGCAGTTCGAGACCCGGGTGCCGCATGACGGAGTGAGCTCCCATCTCTGGCCCCAGCTCCTGCCAACCGAGCAGTTCGAAAGCAAGACATTGCAAGTAGATAAATAGGTACCACTTCAGTGGGAAGGTAACAGCGTTCCGTGCGCCTTGATGTTTAGTCATGCCGGCCACATGACCACGGAAACGTCTTCGGACAGCGCTGGCTCTTCGGCTTTGAAACAGAGATGAGCACCGCAACCCTAGAGTCGGACTTGACTGGCTTTCGACCAAGGGAACCTTTACCTTTACTTTTTTAACAGGGGATGGGTGGAGCATCTGCCAAAGGTGGGGGGGTGGAGGTTGGGAACCGAAGAGGGCTGGCTTCACTGCACAGGGGTGTGGATGGATGGTCTCTGGGTGCCCCTTCTGAGTCTGACTTTTGGCCTCTCTCTCTCTTCAGAAAAACGGCAGCAAGGGGATGGCTATGCTACAACATCAAGTTAGTGATGCCTGTTCCCCTCTGAGATGCTACTTCAGCACAGTGGCTGGGGGTCAAGGAGCCGCTGAAAGGCACACATGTTCCTTCTGACCCGTTGAAAGGGCCTGGGAAAGGTGTGCTTAAGAACGTCAGAAGAGCCCTGCTGGATCAGACCACGAGTCCGTCTAGTCCAGCATCCTGTCTCACACAGTGGCCAGACAGTTCCTCTGGAGGTCCAACAACAGGGCATGGAAGCCTGGAACAATGCAAACTATGACCCGGGATTCACTCAAAAGCAACCATTTAATACTTGCCTGCAGATCTGTTCGGAGCCTGAAGGTTGTCCCTTTGAGAGCCAGTTTGGTGTACTGAAGAAGATGGCGATGACACGGTGGTGGTGTGGATTTATACCCTACCCTTCACTCTGAGTCTCAGAGCGGCTTACAATCTCCTTTCCTTCCTCTCCCCCCAACAGACACCCTTTGAGGTAGGTGGGGCTGAGAGAGTTCTGACAGAAACTGCTCTTGAGAGAACAATTCTGAGAGAACTGTGACAGACCCAAGGTCCCCCAGCTGCTGCATGTGGAGGACTGGGGAATCAAACCTGGTTCTCCAGAGTAGAGTCTTGTGTTTTTTACAACTAAGAAGAAGAAGAAGAGATTGGATTTATACCCCGCCCTTCACTACCCAAAGGTGTCTCAGAGCGGCTTACAAACTCCTTTTCCCCGTCCCTTCCCCACAACAGACACCCTGTGAGGTAGGTGGGGCTGAGAGAGCTCTGACAGAAACTGCTCTTTTTCAAGGACAGCTCTTATCAGAACTACAACTTGCCCAAGGTCATCCAGCCAGGTGCAAGTGGAGAAGTGGGGAATCAAACCCGGTTCTCCCAGATTAGAGTTCGCGCACTTAACCACTACACCAAACTGGCAAATAAGTTACAACTGAATGATGGAAAGTCAAAAATCCTTATCTTTTCAAAAATGTGGAAATTATTTAAATGGATAATAAATGGATAATAGATGGAGAGGAAATAGAGCAGGTCAAACATTTCAAACACTTAGGTCTGTATTTTCAATGCAATGCCTCTTGGAACATTCGACGCAAGTCAGCTGTAAATATGGCCAACATTAGTGCTATAGCTATAACTCGCGTTGTTGTTGTTTTATAATAGAGGTAACCAATTTGTACCAGTTGCATTAAAGGTTTTCATTGCCAAAGTGAACCTGCAATTATTATATGGCATACCAATATGGATTGGTGCACTCGATCATTTTTTGGAATGTGCCCAGTCCAAATGTGTACAAAAAATTCTGGGTATGTCTTATTGTGGCCCCGGTCACACGGGCCGGATATCGCGGGGGGGGGGGCGTGGCTAATTGTCCCGGCGCAGTTTGATCTGCGATTACGGGATCAGACATGCTGGCAGCACACCACGGGTCCTTCCCTTGGCGCCGGTGGGTAAACGAGGGACCAGAGGGGAATGCCGCGCGCCGGCGCAATCACACCACGGACATCCGGAGGCAGCCCGTGGCAAACGTTTACTAGTATCTTAGAGGTACTAGTTTTTAAATGTGCATTGTCGGCGGTAAGCCACGGGTGCGCTCCACTTCCCAGATGTTGTGGTGTGATCACGCTCGGATAATCCGCCCACCTTCCGTGCCTCTCCCACGGCAACTTAGCCGTGTGACCGGGGCCTGTGTACCATATGCTGCCCTTTGCTTAGAAAGTGGATTAAATTTTGTTGAAACTAGGGCATGGCTTATAACTGTTAAATACTGGCTGCACTATAACTCTGATTCCTTGAGCCTTATCCATCAAATGCTCACAGGGTCTGAAATGTCAAGCCAGCTTAGCTTGTATTGAGGAGGGAAAAAATCACTGCTATAGGTATATTTCCGGACTCACTGTCCATGCTCCCGTTAACAGGTGGATATTGAACTCCAAAACCTATATAGTATGGCTAATAAAACTGGCTCTCCTTTGGGTCTAGAGAGCCCACTTGGAAGTAGGTCGTGTGGCCCCCATATCTATATTCTCTGCAAGTAGCACAACAACGCAGAGCCTTTTCTTTCGCTAGATTTAATGCCATGCCACCTGCAATTTCATATGGCAGGTTTAAAAAGATAGCATATTGGGCTAGACATTGTCCTTGTAACACCAATTCCATTGAGGCAATCCCACATCTTTTCTTCTATTGTTCTTTTTATGTACCTTTACCTAAGGGACCGCCTCTCCCCATATGTTCCCCCACGGGCACTACGGTCAGGGATGCAACATCTCCTGGCAATGCCAGGCCCGAAGGAGGCCAGGCTGGCCGCTACCAGGGCCAGGACTTTTTTGGTGGCAGCTCCTACCTGGTGGAACGAGCTCCCGGAGGAGATACGGGCCCTGCGGGACCTAATGCAGTTCCGCAGGGCCTGCAAGACGGAGCTCTTCCGCCAGGTGTTTGAGTAGGAGCCGCCACTACTGTACCATCATTATCTGGCCCTGGAAGAAAGAACGGCGGCACTACGCGGAACAGAAGACACTGAGTTGGTAGAGCAGCAGTAATTCATCATCTTTATAGAAGATCAATTGGAACACCTGGAGCACTTTATATTTGTAATTTTGTAATATTGTAGAATGTTTTAAATGGTTTTAAATATGTTTTTATGTGCTGGCTTTTGCCTGACTGTGAGCCACCCTGAGCACGCTTTGCAGGGCGGGCGGGCTATAAATTGAATTTATAAATAAATAAATATAAATAAATGTAGATATGCGTTTAAAACATTTAAGCTCTCTTTTAGCTAACATGACGGGCCTCTCCGATTCCTACAAGGTTTACTGCCTTTTGAAGGATTCCTACTCTGGTATATAACCGAGAAGGTAGAAAACAAGAATAACACCTCGGAGACAAAAAAATAAATAAATCAATTATCACCAATGCATGAAAAAACAGTTTAATTGAAATAAAATGGGGGAGCACAATGCAAACCAAGCCGTTTACGTTGTGTTCCATTGCGATTCGGATTTCTTCAGGCTGTTGTTCCTATTATGGTCATTGTACCTTGGTCATTGTACCTTTGAATTTTACTGTCTATGGAAGAAGATATCTATCTCTCCTGCAAAAAGGTTTTGCTCCATTTGAAATATAACAACGTAGAAAGAAATACAAGGAACTTGTGCTCTTTCTCCAAACAAATCCAATTGGATACAAATGGCTATTTCCAGAAGGCATGACGTTCAAGATCAAAGAGAAGAAAGAAAGGATTGACTCTGTTCTGAAAGCTCAAGAATTTTTAAAAGAGCAGCTGGAAAGGCCAGAGGACGGGGGAAAAGAAGGGGACAGTAGATCCAGAGTCGAGCTGGAAACTGGTTCTTCGGGTGAGAACTCTCTGTCTGAGCGAGGGGCAGCAGCCCCGAAAAGTCCCTACAAGCTACGGAAGAGAAGGGAAAAGAAGAAATAAAGGCTGAAGGACTCTGTTTGGTGCCTTTGAGAACTTTGGTTCTGGGGGATGATTGGGAGTACTGTTATTGGGCAGTTAAATACAAATGTAGAAAGTAAAAGGTTTTAAATGCTGGACTCAGTTTATAAGAAGATTAACATTGGAAAGGCTTGAAGTATTAAAGCGGGTGGGAAGATCTCCTCTCTTGGGTTTTTAGTTAGTAGTGGGTACTTTACTTTCTCCTGTATATGTAGTTTTCCCCTCCCTTTATTTCTGTTGTAGTTTTTGTAGTGATAAAAAATCAATAAAAATCCCCTCCGGGGGCTATAAAAATAAAATAAAAAACAAAATGGCTTATATCATCGGCCGCATTGCCGTAGAGCAGGGGTGGCCAAACTGTGGCTCGGGAGCCACATGTGGCTCTTTCACACATATTGTGTGGCTCCCAGTGGGGAAGCAAAGGGGAGGGACACTTTTTCTCCCTCCCTCCCCCATCTATTTGCCTTCTTTGTTTCTCTCTCTCTCTCTCTTTCTCTTTCCACCTCTTTCATTCTTTCCACCTCTCTATCTTTTTCTCTCTCCCTTACACAAATAAATATCATTAGCAAACAAATAAATATAATTGGACAAATAAATATCGTTATCAATATCTGTTTTTACCCCTTTTGTTTTTATTTTTGGCCGTCTCGTTTAATGTTAATGAAAAGCAAGTTTGCATATTTTAAAAATAAAAACGTGTGTGTGATATTTGTTCGTGTCTTGCGGCTCTCAAACATCTGACTTTTATTCTATGCGGCTCTTACGTTGAGCAAGTTTGGCCACCCCTGCCGTAGAGAGAAGAGATCTGTTACCTTCTTTGGGCCTCCTTACAATTCAAAGAGTAGACTGTGGCTCATTCGTCACCAAGGCTCTCGCTAAGCTGTGGAGTCTTGTGAGCAAAAATTCTACTTTGTGAGCGACTGCCATTAAAGTTGTGAGGGAGCGATTTGGTTACTGAATTGATTCATTTGCTCTGGAGCCCTCCTTCCTGAGCTAGGCAAAAATGTGTGAGCTGGAGGCTAGAAAACTGTGAGCTAGCTCACACTAACTCAGCTTAGAGGGAACACTGTCCGTCACCTTTATTGCGCCTCCTTTAAATGTATGGCTATTTGATAGTGCTCTATTTAATCACATTATCTTTGTCAGCCTTAATCTCTAGAACAAATTTAGAGTCCCGTGGTACCTTTAAGACCAACTTTAAGATTTTTTCAAGGTATGAGCTTTTGTGTGCAAGGCACACTTTTTCAAATACATTAAAACAGTAGGTGAGGTTCAAACTTATAGCAAGAGAATGAACAGCAAATTAACATGTAACATGATGATGTTTAAGTTATGCAAAATGAAAAACCAAATAAGGTTGTACGGTTGACAGTTGTAAAGCAATAAATAGGTCAAAATAGCAGATAAATGTCTAAATGTGTTTTTTTCTAATTGGGGGAAGTAACAGAATCTTAATTATCTCTTCTCGGGCGTGGAGGGCATTTAACAGTACATTTTGAGCTGGGTGTAATGTTGTTGGCAGACATCTGTTCAATATTCTAATATACTATTCTGAAAAAGAAA